CTTTTCTATTTTCTTTTTTTCTGATTCTTACCTTTGCATACTACAGGATTCTCATCGGAATTATCCGTACAATCGTCCGTTCCGTCGCAGACCCAAGTCATGGGTATACATCTGCCGTTCGCACAGCGAAATTGTCTTAATGGACAAGCCGGTTTACCTGTTGGCAAGAAAATTACAAAAATATCAGAACCAGTCTCTTTCTCCCCCCCCCCTCTCTCTCTCTCTCTCTCGTGGTAGTATCTAATATCTACGTTGGTAGAGATTCTTACCTCTGATGTACGAGGTTTATATATTTAGCGTATGATCGATATAATATGTACGTATATATATATATATATATATATATATAAAATATATATAATATATAGCATATATATTATATATATTATATATATTATATATATTATATATATAGCATATACATATATATACATATGTAGATAGTTATCACTGTATAGTATGTATATAGGCATACACGCGTTATAGATAGTTATACACGCGTTCTCTCGATCGTCTACATGCATATGTCAATGAAATGTCACTACGAATAACAAAGCGATGTTTCAAAACATGGAAAATAAATTTTTCAAAACGATACCCAACAACAACCTTATCTTCTTTTGAATCCTCTCTTATTTCTTCCAATTCTCCTTATTGGATATTATTAACATAATCAAAAAATAAAATAAAATACACATAAAAGCACGTATATAGGATTTTATAATAGTTTCTATAAATAATTTTAAAAATTAATTATACTCCTTTTCGTAAAATTTTTTAGATTTTAATTTTCCTTGTAATTTTGCAATTTGACAAAGAAACTAGATAAGTTGATCTAACAAATCTCGTAAAAATTGATTTTTAAAATCATTTAGGAACTTTTCGGCCTAGCCTTTATTTGATTAAAATTCAATATTCAATATTCTTCATATTATGCGCATTATATATATGTAATAATATATATAATATATAATATATATAATATATATATAAAAATATATATATACACGCACAATAAAATAAGTGTTATATTTTAATTATATATTGACAAAAAAATATATATAATCGAATTGTAATTTTGTTCGATTAATATACGATTAGTATAACGAACCACCTCTAATATAGCTTCTAATATATGTATCTCCTGAGAAATGGAGATAGAGATAAATAGATACAGAGGGAGAGAGAGAGAGAGAAAGAGAGAGAGAGAGAGAGAGAGAGAGAAAGAGGGAGAGAGAAAGAGAAACGTTAACACAACCATAGGAGATGATTATCGTTCCAATATTAAGAGCTCGTGATATGGCGAGGATGCCATTAGTATTTTGAGGAAAAAGAGAATTACTAAACGAGCCACACGATTAATGTATATCCGTTAAGAAGTTTCATTGATCCTGTTTCATATGATAGGACTGTTTCTCTCTTTCTCTTTCTCTCTTTCTCTCTCATCTTTCTCTCTCTCTCTCTCTCTCTCTCTCTCTCTCTCTCGCTCTTTCTTTCTTCCTCTCTTTCTCTATCTATATCTTTTTTGCTCTTTCCCGATTCACCAAAACTTCGAGAAGCTTTCGAGAATTTAATCAAATTATTATCCAGCACGAAGAAGCTCTATAACTTTAACGTCGTCTTCTATTAAAAATGTAGTACTCCAGGATAGTCAGAGAGTATTACGTGTTTTTCTTTTTTTTTTTTTCCTTTTTTTTAATCAATATTCTAATATGTATATGTATATATTTATATATATATACATATATACATATTAGAATATATATATACATATATGTATGTATATATATGTATATACATTATGTGTATGTGCGTGTGTGTGTGTGTGTGTGTGTGTGTGTGTGACCGCGTGTGTGTACACACATACAAACATATATTTATACATTATATTATTAAATGCATAAGCTTCTCGAACCTGTCTCATCAAACAGAAAAGAGGAGACATAGAAAGTGTACCTAAAAGAAAATCAAGTTTGTCGTATTAGAACGTAGAGTATACTTTCGTGTATACTTTATATCGAATTTCAATAAATCGATAAATATAATATAGATACTATCTGTAAATATGTAAATTCGGAAAAAGAGGGACAAAATTTTTTCGGAATCGGTCAAAAGTTTTTTAATGATTTGAAAAATCAATTTTTTTCGAGACTTTTTAGGCTAATATTTTTCTCTCTTTTTTGTTTTATTTTATTTTTTTCGTGAGATTTTAAAACTACAAACCTAACTACAAGTTTAAAAGATCTCAAAAATATCCAATTGATTTTTAAAATTACCTAAGAACATTTGGCCCATCCTGCGAAATCGATAATTAATAAATAATTTAACATACATTATTTTATAAAAGAAAAATCTTGCTGTTCATATAATTGATAGATATTAATGGAAATAGATATTTCGATTCGTCGAATTCTCATATCGAAGTTATTTCCGAGAAAATTTCACGGTATTTCCAGGTAATCGCATTATCCTACGAGTTCGAAAAGAAACTTGATATCCGTCAATGTCAACAAATAAGTTTTATTTCTATTTTTTTTTTCTTTTTCATTGAAAGGACTTTAGTCAATACGTAAAATTTCGACATCGAAAGTAAAACGGCCCTAGATATACTTCTTTTTTTTTTCATTTTGCAAATAGTTCTATAACATCAATTTTATACCCATTAGTCAATCTTTTTTTTATTTACAGTAAAATTCTATATAACGTAAAAATTATATAATATAAAAATTATTTATACCAGTATCTACAATTATACGCTATATACTGGTACAATCTATAAATATGTAATTAAAGAAAAATATTTTCAAAAAACTCTTGGAATATGAAGTAATACACAATTTAATGAAAAAAATAAAAGAAAATTTGTAAAAGTATAGATATACGTGACGATGATTAAGAATGTCGTTCTAACCACCAATATCTTTCGTTGTGTTTCGTTGTGAATTAATTAAAAATTAGTTTTCTATATTGACAAAAGCAAAAAAAAGTAAGTAAATATATCTATGTATATATATACGTAAAATATGAAAAATAGCTTATTAAACAAAATTGATATCTCAAATGATTTATTAAATATTATTATAATGAGTTATTATTAAGACCATTTTCATAATTCTCACATATGTATGTAACGTCTAATTTCATAAAATTGCATAACGTTGTAGGGAGGTTAAATATCAATTAACTTGTTTTGACGATTAATAATCGTCAAGCTTCGTTATGCCTATGCTATATATTTATTTTCTTTCTTTCCTCCTTCTTTTATCATTCTCTCTCTCTCTCTCTTGCTCTCTCTTTCTCTCTTGCTCTCTCCTTCTATCTCTATCTCTATCTCTCGATATAGATCGTTGACGTTAAAAGAGAGAAACTATGCAATAAACAATCAATGGATTTCATTAAATAATCAAATGAACAAATATATCTATATATACATATCTATATATGTCTTACATGATATGGATAAATACACACATATACATATATAAATATAATGTTTGTCAGATCATTGAAATATGATACAGCCAAAGTACTATTATTATATTCTCATAAATAATTTTATTATAAAGAATTCATTCTTTATAATTAATATATAATATTTCATTATATAAATAATTCATTACTTTATCGAACAACTAATAATGGCCGAACGTTTGTTATGCATTCTTGATTATCCTAATCGTTTTGAGTAAATGAAACGTATCAGTTAAACATGTATGTATGAATATAAGTATGTAAACACCTAGGATAATATCGTCACTTTACAAGACTTCCCACTTCGATTTTACGAATCTTATATCATCATGATATCTCAATTAAACTTTGATCATGATTTACGATACTTCAAAGAATCATAGAAATCGATACGTTTACATTATCGATCCAATAACGTTGTTCATCTTATCGGACTTTCGTAGCTTGGATTCCCCGAATTCCGCAGAAAATATTTGATATAAAAAAAGGAATAAAGCAAAAAAAAAGAAAAGAAAAATTTACATCAGTTGGAAAATTAAAGATGCTATATAAATATGACTGAACTTATTGATTACGTTGTAAAAGATATATATTAAACCTTCTGATAAATACAGAATTCTTTGGATCGTCGTAACCGTTGGTTGCTTCATGATCTTTCTTATAAAAATAAACGATCTTTTCGTAGTAAAATCATTTCGAATTCATTGGAAAAGAAAAAAAAGATTCGTGAAAAAACAAAACCTATAAGAACTTATAAAATGTCGACTCGAAATTCGATAAATTTTCAAGTAAGACATAGTACAGGTTATGAGTGTGTAAGAAAAAGGACACGTGTTATATTTATATTTATCTACTACGTATATATATATATATATATATATATATATATATATATATATGTATTTATTTATTACGTTTTGTGCTATAAGAACGAGGGACACTTTCAAAGATTTAATTATTTCTTAGAAAACACGATTTTACTACGCACTGTTTATTCGACAAAAATAATAGTACGATAAGTTTGTTTGTAATCCGATACGGTAAACACGTTTGTTTACGGATTTATCTATACATTTCGAACTTATAATTATTGTAATATAAATATGAATGAAACATATAAAGAGAAAATTGGTTTATAAATATACGAATATAAATGATATATAATTTACGACCTATAAAATATTCCATAATATTAATATTACAAATATTAATTTATATAATACGTATCATATGTTATATATTATATATGCAAACATATATCAATCTCTACATATGCAATAAAATTAAAATATTACGAGTAGCGAAATATTTTTTCTCATTCATCTACGAATTTCGATGAAAAATAAAAAGCAAAATGTTATTTTGGTTTAAATGACGTTTCTAATATAAAAATAAGGAAAGAAGGAAGGAAGAAAAGAGAAAGAAAAAGAAAAAGGAAATAAAACCAGTTGAGAAAGTCCAAAGATCTCTTTTTCATACGCAATATCTATTCAAGCGTAATAAAATTTGAATGTCTAATTGGTATTTAATCGGACAACGACGACGATCCTTATACAATCTGTATTTGCATTCGAAAAGAAATAATATAATCAGAAGAAATAACAATATTTTAAATAATAAATATATACGTATGAATGTATACGTACGTATGTATGTAAGTAAACAAATATGTATGTATCGCAAAATATGGTTTATGTTTAGAAAAAAATATTTGAGCATTTATTGAGTAGTTGTAAAAAGACAGTTTTATTTGTATTTTTGTAAAAGGTTAAAACATCTATTTCTTTTGATTCATACATAGATACATACGTACAAATACACATACATACATACATATATATATATATACACACACATAATATATACATACGTACACAGAACACACACACACACGCATATACAGTATAAAAACGAGTGATCGAGCCAATTCTTGCTCCTTTGACTTAACACCTGACGCTTTTTATATGCCAAGAAGTACCGCAGAAAATCAAGGCGGTTACGCAAAGAAGAGTGCCGTGCTCATTCGTAAGTACGTACATATATACATCCGCACACATACGACTTACGTGTGTACATACATAGAAGGTATGTCATCGTTCACAAATGCGTATAAACGCATATGTATATGTGTAGAGAAAGAAACCGGGCAGTGTGACACGAAATCGACGACTGCGTGTCGCACACGTTTAAAGACGATCGCCTTTTAATCCGTCTAATGCGCACGCGCGTTTACGCACATGGAAAAAGGAGACACGCACGGTAAAACAGCTACATATCTCTCTCTCTCTCTCTTTCTTTTATCACGTATGTTTTCTTTCTCTTTTATAATTGCTTTATCAATCTTTCTCTCTATTTTTATCTTTGATTCATTCGGGTATATTAAAAGCGAAAAACTTTCTTTTTTCATCTTTTTTTCTTTTCTTTTTTTTTCAGGGAAAGAACATCGATGTGTCAATCAAGCATTTTGCCAAAAAAACATCCATCCATCCATCCATCCATCCATCCATCCATCCATCCATCCATCCATCCATCCATTCATCCATCCATCCATCCATCCATCCATCCATCCATCCATCCATCCATCCATCCATCCATCCATCCATCCATCCATCCATCCATCCATCCATCCATCCATCCATTCATCCATTCATCCATTTCCACGTCGGTCAATTCGATATATCTCGAAAGCGCGTATTGGTCCACGCGCAAAAAGAAAAATAAAAAGAAAGAAAAAAAGAAGAAGAAAGAAAAAAGAATAGAAAATACGAAAAGACATCGTCGTTTGTCGAGTAGATAAAAATGATGGGTAGTGAGATTTTCCGAACGACGGTACGGGGAGGTTTAAGCGATCAAGAGAACGTATCAAGGAAGAAAAAAAAAGAATGTATCTAATATATGTACATACATATATATATATACACACTTACTGTCGACGGAGAAAGCATCTATCAGTGTGAGAGAAGCGACGAATATCGTGAGCAGGTGCACCGGCGGGAACAGGAAGAGCAGACGACAGCTTCGCTCCATAACAGCCCTCTTTTGTCGGCGGCGTATGTACTCGTGTCCTGTCGTCGGCTCTCTTTCTCGGCCAATACACCTTCGCCAAAGTCACCACCACTAGCAGCACCGCCACCACCACCACTACTATCACCGCTGCTACTGCCACCACTGCCACCACCACACCACCACCACCACACCACTACTACTACTACTATTACTACACTCTACTACTACCACACACTAACACACCACTAGACGGCGCGAAGAAAAGCCAGCAGTCAGGCGGTCGCGCGTTCCGGTCTCTCTCTTTCTCTTTCTCTCTTTCTTTTACTATCTATCTCTATATATCTTCCTCTATTCCTCTTACTTCGTTTCTCTTCGCGAGACGTCGTCCGCGGCACGCACGCACGCTTACTTTTCCCACCCGGCAACCTCTCGCCGGGGAATCGATCAAGAGGAGTAGCAGCAGCAGCAGCAGCAGCAGCAGCAACAGCAGCAACAACCAGTAGCAACAGTAGTATCAGCAATAACAATAACGACGAACACGAGAATGTTAACAATATAAGGAACGAATGTGGAAACCGTAGTTCGAGATATTCTTTGATCTTTTTTTTTTTCGAACGACCGATAGAAAAAGGAAAGACAGAAAAAATAAAGAAATACAGAGAGAAAGAGAGAGAGAGAGAGAGAGAGAGAGAGAGAGAGAGAGAGAAAGAAAGAAAGAAAGAAAGACAGACAGACAGACAGAAGTGAAGAAATATGTATATAGAAATAATAATAACAGGCGTGTCGTATCTCCTCTCTGTTTCTTTCTGTGTGTTGTATATAACGTGTATATAGAGAAGAACGAGCGAGAGAAATAATAAATGTTGTGTAAAGTCAATAGGGTTGAGTTCCTTCTTTTCAGAGACACGAGCCACGCGGGAAGGAAAAAGAAGAAGAAGAAAAAAAAGGAAAAGGATCAGGAAGCGGAGAAGGAGAAAAAGAAAAAGGAGTAGCAACCTCCGATGACGACGATCTTCGCATGGGTTCTCGTTCGTTTCACCGATTCTTTCGTTTTCTTTCTATCTCTCTTTCTCTATTTTTCTTTTTCTCTTTTTCTCTCCGAACCCTCGAATGATACGAACAACGTTCGTACAAGATTACGGTGGACAAAAAATATATACTCTCTGAGATGATCGTAAGACTGGCTCTATAACGTTAACGGCCCGCCCTGTGCGTACGAGTTCTCCTGGTTTCTGTGCCTCTCTTCGCGAAGGCGCGTCTTGTCTGTTTGCTGCTATACCTCCCCCTCCTCTCGTTTTATTTCTCTTTCTCTCGTGCTTACTCTATCACCTTCTCTTTCTCTCCCTCGACTATGCCCTCGTAACTCTTCCCTACCGTCCGCACGGTAATGTGTACACCGTTTCTCTCTCTTACTCTTACGAACGAGCTACGTTCCTTCTCTTTTTATCCTTGGCATAGCCCGGTAAACGATGACGATGACGATAGAGAACACAGATTCTGACGCATCAACATCGCGCCACCTGCGCACGCAGCTCACCCTTCTCTCTCTCTTTCTTTTTCTCTCGTTCTCTTTCTCACTTACTTTCTCTCTTTCTCTCTCTCTCTCTCTCTCTCTCTCTCTCTGTTGCTCTCATTGACTTTCTCTTTATTCTAAATTCTATGAACCCTCTTTTTATTCTTCTATCCCTCGTTGAAATCTCTATAACGAATCACGATTTTGGAGTTCTTGTTGAATCGTTGAAAATATATCTTTCTCAAGCAATCCGTTTAAAAACGAGGACTTGCAAAATATCGGATTATTTTAATACTTTCTATAGTATGTGGACAATATTCTTCGGAAAATTCTGAACCAAATGGATAATTCGAATCCGCGAAATTTCTAATTAACCTTTTTACCTTTTGATGTAATAATGATTAAATTACCGTATGATAATGAATACGCTTTTTTTGTAACTGAACACATATTAATCAATTAGGATAGATATCTTTGTTTTATTTTTATTATCTTAAGTATCGACGTAATAGGTGTGTAGAATATAACTATACTTATTTTATTTTTCGACAAATTGTCCCGCCATTCGATGATCGTATTTCTCATAACAACGTTTTCTCATTGGTGCACTTTAGATCACCTGATCAATTTAACCTATGAAAAGTCTTTACGTAATATTCGCATGAAATAATTACTACGTGAAACAAAAAAATAAAAAATAAAATAATATTATGTTTTTTAATAAATCACAAGTTTTATAGATAGAAAATAAAAATAAATATTTTTATGAAATATCAAATATAAAAATGTAAAATTTGTGTAAAATACAAATTATTACCTATGTCACGTGACCAAAATAATTAATAAAATGGAATGAATCAAAATGAAGGAATTATTCAAATGATTTTTTAGCCGGTATAACCTATTTGGTATAAAATGTTTAGGAGAAATTATATATAATATATCTGAAGTATTATTCGTTAGAATGGTGTAAATATAACATTTAAAATAAGAAAATGTAGTTATTAATTTGAAAAGATTATTCTATTTAACTTTTCTACGAGATGAGTGCTACAGAAATAAAATATAAGTTCGAACGAGAAATAGATTGTAAACAAGGTGCAGTAAGATCAGTTCGTTTCAGTGGTATGTATTTGTATTACTAATAATTTGAACAAAATTTTTAATATATAAATAATATTACTTTACTAAGATTCAAAAGTTTTTCATATAATAACATACAAGGAATTTATAGTTGACGGAGAATACTGTTTGACATGTGGATCAGATAGAAAAATAAAGTTATGGAATCCTTACAAAGCTACAAATTTAAAAGTCTATGGAGGACATGGAGACGAAGTAATGGATGTTTGTGCATCTTGCGATAGCAGTCAAATAGTGTCTTGTGGTTTAGATAAATCTTTGATTTTATGGGATGTAAGTACTGGAACACCTGTTCGACGCTTAAGAGGACATGCAGGTCCTGTAACAACTGTAAGGTAGAATAAAATGTCTTATTCTTTGTTTATAAATGTTATTGTAATATATAAATAAAAACTTTTATTACAATCTTAGATATAATGAAGAATCATCAATGGTTGTTTCTGGATCTCGAGATAATACTGTTATGTGTTGGGATGTACGGTCTAAATCAATAGAATCTGTACAATGTTTGAATGAGGCCAAAGATTCAATTTCTAGTGTTAGAACTTCTGATCATGAAATTTTATCAGCATCATTCGATGGAAAGATACGAAGATATGATATTCGTGTTGGCCAAATGTATTCGGATTACATGAAAGGTATTTAAAATATTAAATATTAGATAACTATTGTATACATTATTATTATATATAAATATATAATAATAATTATAAAAAACGAAATAAAATAATTTGCTTAGATGCAGTGACATGTGCAAGTTTTACAAGGGATGGACAATGTATTGTGGTTAGTTGTGCAAACGATGTAGTACGTTTAATTGACAAAGATACTGGAGAATTACTTGGTAAATTTACTGGGCATACAGCTAAAGATCTGTGTTTAGAATCAAGTGTAGATTCTCAAGACACACAAATTCTTTCGGGCTCTGAAGATGGTAAATTATGGGTATGGGATTTGGCAACACAGACGGTTGTTGCAAAACTTTCTGGATACAGACCATCAAAATACCCTACTTTATCTATAAACGTTCATCCAACTAAAAATTGTTTTATAGCTGCAAATGGCTATAGTATATTAATGTGGAGTGCAGAATCTACTGCAAAAGTTGAATAAGGTGTATAAGATATAAGTATGTATATATATATTTAATAAAATAAAGTCTATATTAAAAATCATTTTACTTATTCTGAATATTTTGGACATATAAAGATAAAATAATGTATTAACAATATTTTTGTCTTACTTTTGTTAGCTATCGAAACCTAATAAATATTTATATTAAATTTATGTATTTTTAGAATAAGTTTAATCGCTTTTTGTCAGTGATTGTTCATCAATGCACTATTGGATATAATAGTGGACTAGTTTACGCCTGTAATGAATCCAGGCAAAATTTTTATCGATTTTGATGAACTAGTTTTCATTTTAAAGATGAAGTTTTTTCAACAGGGAGATGGCTTTATTGAATTTTTTAAAAACCTTCATTTTCATTAAAAAAAATCGCGTTAAAAATGTTTTTTTTTGCAAATAGTTTACTCATAAATTCATTGCTTGGGTAAACGCGATTTTCAACATTTCTGTTATTTGTTGTTTGAACCAGTAAACATATCAGCTCATTTCTTTAAGTAAGTTAAAATAATTAATACTTTTCTTTAATATACGAATTTTATCGTTTAATGTCAACAAGAAAGAACATAGAATGGACCATGCGAGTTATCACGTTAGTGTCCTTTCGTAATCTGAAGACTTCGCATCGAAATAGTCTCTTACCAAAATATTATATTTAATTCTTTCATAGACGCGATGATTTTAGAATAATTTACACAACGTACAATGTACATGTAGTACGATGCGCTAATATTTAAATAATAGTTTATGCCGTTAAAAATTGTATAGTTCTTTAGATGCATTATACAATAATTAACTTTCAGTTTGCGTCGATCGTTAGATGTCAATAAGAAGGAACAATAGATAGACCGTGCAATTTATCACGTTAGTTTCCTCTCGTTATCTGAAAACTTCACATCGAAATAATGAATAATTTCTCTTTGACTACATGTGATTATTGTATAGATGTGATGACTTTAAAATAATTTAGACAATGTACAATGCATTCCAAGTATTACCAAGTATTACATATATACCACGATGTGGTAATATTTAAACAATAGTACAAGCCTTTAAAAATCTCATAGTTCTTTAGATGCGTTATACATAAAATAATCTACTTTCAGCGTGCATCGATTGTTAGATGCTAAGAAGAATGATCATTCGAAGGTCCATGCGAGTTACTACGTCACTTTCCTTTTGTACTGCGAAAAGTAAACTTGAATATATGCTCTTTCCGTATCGCTACATTTAATCATCATATAGATAAAGTAGGTATATTTCTATATCATTCATTTTATGAATAATTTATATAGTTTCTTATTATAAGAGTGATACTAATAATTTTGTTTGTATTTTTTTGTTTCAGGAATTCATTGCAATCGCGCGCATAGCAATTAAGAAATCAAGTGTTTGTATCACTAAAATTAAAATATCGTAAAGTAGAAACAGTGTTTGCTCGTTCACGTTTCTAGATTTAAACAAGTGTTTCTGCATCGACTGCATGCATTTAATGACTGACACATTTTGCATTTTTAACAGTCGCACAGACTGTATAGAAGATAATGGATTTTTATGAAGTAAATTCAGTGACCATTCTTTAATAAATAACTACCATGAATTAGATTCGGTGGATTATTGAAAAAGGATCTCGACCAACTTCAACGTCGACCTACCTCATTTTTAACCACCTATAAATCATCCAATCTCAATTTCGACCTAAATCGCGGACTAGTGTTTTGGAGTTATCGCAAAATTTCTTAAGTAGTAAATGACTTTTTAAATAACTCTGATCACTCAATTATGTTAAAGACGAAAGGATCGAATTGGTTGTAATTAATTAGTAGAAGAGTATAGAGTGACCATGAATACTTTTTTTCGGAATAACGTGCTTAATAGAACGTTATGTCTGAAGCTGACGGTGTCGGACGGTGCAGCTTTCTATAAACAGCGTCTCACCCACCTCCTATTAGCTAAGAAGTCTGAAGCTCCTGAAGCGGAAAGACATCTCGGTACGCGGATTTTAGAGTCACCGCTAGCCCATGGATCTCTATATGCAGCAACCTCCACGCGGTGAGATCTGGGTCGATACTACTTGCGATATATAGAATTTTAAACTTAAATCATATGCAAATATATGTTATAACACAAATACTACCGAGCGAATGGCTGCACATCTTTATGCGTTTCGAAAATGTTTTTCTTTCATATTTTACTAGATATTGAACTACTCTCATTTTACATGGTTAATCATACGTCAATATATAACCAGATTAGATTTTTTTTGTTATTATTGGAGATTTAGATTTTACTATATTTTTCAAATAACAATAATCAAATAATATAAAAGAATAGAATTGTTAACCTGTAGATCTCCATATATAGTAATCTCCACATGGTAAGGTTTGAGGTTACTTGATATTACTTTTGATGTAATGTATATTGTATTTTATATTTTATGCATTCCATCACAAGTGATATGGAATGCTTAAATATTTTTTAAGTATTTGTTTATCTGTTGTAAATTTAACTAGAAACAAAATATATAAAATTTGTACAATTAACGAACACTTTTCAATTAATCTGAGAAGTATAATTTAGAATATCAATTTTTTTGTTTTTATCAGATTTATTACTATTTTTATTATATATACAAAAATGTTTATCATATATAGATTATTAGGTATTACGTAAAAGAGATATATATAATTTATAGCTTATACACTAATGCAATAGTTCCCTATTATGCTTGTAGTTTATATTTTGTCCATACTTGTCGCTGAAGTCATATAAGCTACGAGCAAAAAATGATGAACAATCTTAATTATTTTATTGTTTATATATAAATAATAAATCATTTCTAAAGTCAAATATTGGTATTAATTCTATGATATTTATTATTTTAACAAAAATTTATTTAAAAAAATTTTAGTAAATAGCAATATACAATCATAATAAAAATGGTTGATCTTGAAAAATATAAAACCAATATAAGTTTACCAAAACGATTACAATCTCCCGATCCCAAAAATGAAAAAAATGAAAAAATAAGTGGACCTGTTATTATTAATATGCAAAAAGCTTTTTATGATTTAAAAATTTCCGATATAAATAACAGAATCCAGAGGTAAAGCATTAACTCATCGTAATATTAAAAGAGATATTTTTATATTATAAATATAAATATTTGTTAGGTTACAAGAACGAAATAATGAACTTACAGATAATTGCGAAGAGATAAATTTACTTCTAATTTCAACGGATGCAGAAACTGCAAATGAAATTACTCAATTGACACAAAATTTGTCTAACGAAGTAACAAAATTAGAAGAAAATAAGAACACACTGAGTATTCTAGAGGAAGGGATAGTAAATGATAAATTTTCTCATATTGACAAAATGAATTCTTTAAATGATAAATATGCAAGAAAACGTTTAGAATTAATATCATTAATTAAACCATTAAGTAATTATTTTTAATATTATTCTATTTCTGTATTTTTTTACATAAATATGAATACTGAAGCAACAATATATACAACTTTAGAATACATTATTAGATGCAAAGATAAATATGTTGGAAGACTATAGAAAGTCACAATCAGTTCTTCAAGAAAAATTAGAAAATAAAAACATTTTTATGCAACAGGAGGAAGAAAAAGTAGAACAACAAATACAACAAATTCAATTGAAATTTAAATTTGACAGAGAAAAGTATATATCAATTAAACAATTGTTATTCTCTAATTAAGAGATTTATACTAATATTAATATAGGCTTAAAAAGGACATGTACAATCGCCTTCTTGATTCAGCTGGAATTTTTCAAATGGAAATTTCGAAGTGTATACAAGAACCTATTCATAAACTTATAAGAGAAAATATTATGTTAAATAATTATTTAACTGAAATTATGAATGGAAGTTTTACTGAAAAAGAAATATTTAAAAATTCCAAGTAAGGATATTATTTTGTATTATTAATTATTATCTTTATATAAATGTTTTTAATTTATTTTTTTAGAGATATGAAGGATGTACTTCTTAAGAAAAATAAATTAAGTTATTTAGATACCAGATATAATATAAAAGTTTCTAAAATTCAAAATCATCTTTTGAAATCCTTAAAAGAAGTCCATAGTGATATAGAAAGACATTTAATTAATTTCAAGGTTTTAAGTTCTAATCTAGAGAAAGATTTGATTAATAGAGATTATGCACAAAAACAAACAAATATTTCTGAAGCACATGTAAAAAAATTGGAAGTAATGTTGTACAAAGAGAGAATAGAAATTAGTACTTCAAAATATATACGAAAAAAGATACAATGTAAAATTAAAAAATGTAGGGAAACACTTTATGATGTTAAATATGCTGTAATATGTGCACTACAGGTACAATAAGTTAAAAAAACATTTAAAGAGGATGAAAACATAATCATTCGTATAATTATTATATATTATTAATTATAATTTTCAAAAAAATTTAATATTTATATAGATGGCAAATAGTGACTCTAAGTTTGCACAAATGGATAAAAAAAGTTTGTTGCTACATTTACAAAATATTATTATAGAAAGTCAAGCCTACATGTCAAATATTATAATTAAATCGTAAGTACTTAGATATACATAAAATAACTTACAAAAATATATAATTCAATCATTATTACATTGTACAAAATATTATTTTTAAACATAACAAATATAAATATAAAGGATGGAATCTATACTGGAATCAAGTAATGTGTATATCTATGGAGATCTTGGATTTGAACCAACATCTATTAAATTAAGAGAATCGACTCAGATAGTAGAAAATGAAATATTTACACCAATCATTTCTGAAACTTTTGGTATAAAAGAACTGGTATGATTTATTTTATAGATAAGAAACATTCACAGATATGTATATACATTCCATACATTTACATGAATATATGACTAATATAGGAAGAACAATCAAAAGAAGATTTAATAAAAGATAAAAGTTTAACTATATTCGAGGCACCAACAGTTAAAGAACTTATTGAAACTAAATTTTCAAGTGCAGAGGATTCAATTTCTGAAGAATTTGAAGTGACAGGAATTGATAATGATGAAATTTAATATGACTGAAAATAGTCGGAATTTAATATGTATAAAAAATGTTATCATATAAATATATGATAAAATAAATTTATATTGAAATTACTAATTAAAAAGTTATATATATATATAACTTTGTCATAATAAATTACTATACAAGTTTACATAAAATTATTAATTTTATTTTTTAATTTTTAATATATACATTTATAATCATTACTATTTATATTCAAATATAAATACACCTACCTTTATTCCATTACTTTTGCATTATTTTATGATCTGATTTAATATATCTTTTCACTTTAGCCTTAGTTCGTTTGCTACAAAAATTTAATATATTTTTATTGATTTAATATTATGTAAATAAAAATCTATGTTTTTAGTCTTATATAAATAATTATGGAAGAAATAATACTTACAGAACAATATTTGCAGGTGCAACAATATTCCTTTGTTGCAATGATTTATAACGATCCTTTAATAAATTACCAATGCGTGCGACATTTCTTAAGTTTCCAGTTAATTCTTCTGCTAATGTAAAGGAAGGTTCAACAGGTTCAAATTTAACTTTACTCAATGTCTTTGTTCCTACAGATTTTAATTTTTTTTGTTCATGTCTCTTTTTTTGTAAAACTTTTTCTTTCTTTTCTTTCGCATCAATTTGTTTTTTAAGTAATTTTAACTTGTATATATCTGATACTTTTCTTTTCTCTAATTTTGCTTGCGCTAATTTATGTGCTAACATTTTTTGTTCTTTTTGTTTACGTCTTGCTACTAATGTTTTCTTTTTATTTTTTACTGGTGGATTTACAGACTTAATATTATAATCCATATCAGTATCATCATCATCATCATCATCATTATCATCATTATCATTGTTATTAGACTGCTCTAGTTCATCTTTTTTTATTGGTAAACCCTCAGCTAATTCCTTTAATGTATTTTTATCTTTCTCGTCAAGTGAAACCTAATAAAAGTAAAAAAACATATTTAAATTAATTTATTACAAAATTTTTAAACTCATACAAGTTACCTTCTTGAACATCTTTGTAGTAACTCTATTTAAATGAGCTTCTTCTTTCATTAATTCTAATTCTTTCTTTGCTATTTCATTTAACAAATCCTGATGATCTTTATAAGACGGATTATATGATGTACCAGGATGTGGAGCTTCTATAGCTGGTAAGACCGATGGTTTTTTATGTAAGGATGTTGGTAATTTTCTTTTTTTTATACCCATATGTGTAAGAGTATGTCTGATAGTATCAGAAGTCATCCATTCTGTAGCAATCTCCGGTAAAGAAGAATCTTTTTTATGCCATATATCGTCTTTGAAATCACCTCTTCTAGGTCTGTTAGCTCTTTTCAAATCTGCTAGAGCTTTATTTTTTAATGCTAACTTTTCTTTCAATTTCAAGATACCCATTGACTTTCTTTGAATCTCTTTACGAAGTAAAATAGGATGTTTACGTTCTTCAGCCGTTCTTACACGATTTCTCTTAACAATTGGATCAGGAACTAGAGTATGTGGTTTTAATATATTGAAACACTTTGGCTCTGTATTTTTCAAAGCGAGTCTACGCTGTTTTTTGTCATTAGACGTAATCTCTTTTATTGTAGCATTCTTGTCAACTGTAAATAAGTCTGCATCTGGCCGTTTAGAAAATGGTATTCCTAATCTTTCTTCTAATCTTTCATTTTCTAAAAATTTGTCGACATCTGTTGTATCTACATGTTTTCTCCAAGATTTCTTTGTTTTTTTAGAAACTTTACGCTTTTTACTTTTAACGTCCATCATTTCAATAATTCACTTACACGACCACGTGCGAAATAACAAAAACGTATTACAACCGGGTAAAGTTAGCCATGAAGTCTTATTCTTTTTCTTTTTCTCTTTTCTCTCTCTCTCTCTCTCTCTCTCTCTCTCTCTCTCTCTCTCTCTCTCTTTCTCTCTCTTTTTACTACCAGCGCTCTCTAACGACTAAAATAATATAAAAAATTTGGTGTAGCGCTATAACGCGTATCAACGTATGTTTTGTTGATAATTGTTATTCTTTCTTATAAATTTTAAGTACATTACACATTTTGTTGTAATGCCTATAAAAAGATGTATAGTAACATAAATATATTGTTACTTATAATATTAACAATTTGTTAATTTTAATGAAGTCGCATGTTTTGAACTATTTGAAGTATATATAAGATGTTCTTATTGTTAGTATATAATTTATATAATTATCCTTAATATGGCAATTAAAATTAATACAGAGTTTCCAGGTAAAATAATAACAATTATTATTATAGATAATCATAATTATAGTAGACTTAATAAGAAATATATTCTTCTATTTTATAGTTCTTCTTTAAATAAATATTATTATTTAACATTTCAGCCGTTCCATTACCAGTAGCTTTTTCAATAATTATTATTTTATCATTATGTTATGCAAATAGTTATGATGGTGCATTTGTATTTGATGATGCAGAAGCTATAGTTAATAATGATGATATTCAAAAAACACCAATTTGGGAAATATTTAAAAATGATTTTTGGGGTACAAAATTATCTCACAAGGGCAGTCATAAATCTTATCGTCCACTCACAATTTTAACATTCCGGTAAACAATTAATTCTAAGAACTAAAAAAGTACTATTATTAAGAGAAAGCTTAAATTTGTTATTTTTTTATTTTTTACAGAATGCAATACTGGATCAGAGGTTACTTAGATTCTCAAGATTTCCATATTGTAAATATAATTTTGCATATAATTGTTTGTGTATTAACTTTACATGTGTTCAATATTCTTTTAAGTAACAAAGAACAAAATATAGCATTTTATGCCACAGTATTATTCGCAATACATCCAGTACATACAGAAGCTGTAAGTTATTTCATAAAAATAAATATACTATTTAATTTAGATAATATTTATTGCAATCATAAATTAAGATTTCAGGAATTGTAGGTAGAGCAGAATTATTATGTGTGTTGTTTACATGGCTATCACTTATAATGTATAATCAATGTATTCTTGCAAATTATTCTATTGCCAAATGGTGTAATATAACTGGATGTATTATAAGTATTTCGATAGCAATGCTTTGTAAAGAAACTGGGATTACTGCAATTGTAAGTATGAAAATGATTTTATATCATCACGTTTTTTTTTGTTATTATGATAATATATATTACAGGGAATTTGTGTTGTATATGATCTAGTCATTATAAATGGATTTTTACCAAATGATGTATTGAAATTACTATTAACTAAAAATTCTCATATAAACTCAATAATCACCATGAAATTAAATCGTGCATTTTTGATTCGAATGTTTGTACTTTGTTTAAGTGCAATAATGTTGTTATCTCTAAGATTTACTGTTATGGAATTTTCAACACCAAAGTTTCAACCTGTAGACAATCCTGCATCATTTTTGGATAATTGTTTCCTTCGCATTCTCAATTATAGTTATATTTACAGTATAAATATCTGGTTATTAATTTGTCCAGAATGGTTATGTTTTGACTGGTCAATGGGTTGTATACCTTTAATTACTGGATATGATAAAAGAATATTTTTTATTATTCTTTTTTGGACATTCTTTGGTACAATTGTCGTTCATATTTTTTCAGCTCATAGGGATAAATTTCTAAGGTACCATTTTTCACTCAATCTTACTTTTGATTTTGTTAGATTAAATAAATTAAATTATATTGTAATTAAATTATAATATGTTACAGATATACAATTATAGGATTGGCACTTTTAATCATACCTTTTTTACCTGCTAGTAATATCTTTTTTACTGTTGGCTTTGTACTAGCAGAGAGAACATTATATATTCCTTCCGCAGGATATTGCCTCTTAGTAATTATTGGATTACAAAAGCTTTTGACAGGCACATCTTTAAAAAATTTACTAATATTATTTTACACATTTTTATGTCTTATTTTTTTGATGCGTTCATGGATTAGAAGTGATCAATGGAGATCTGAAGAATCACTTTTTAGATCTGCATTAGATGTTTGCCCGCTTAATGCAAAAGTTCATTACAATATTGCAAAAAATGCAGCTGATGCAGGAAATCCTAATTTAGCAAAATTAGAATATAGAGAGGCCTTACGGTATGTCTTTTATTTGAGCAGCATATTTGATGAAAACAATAATTTAATACTATATCATATATTGATTTTTTTTATGTAGTTTAAATCCAAAATATGCTCAAGCAATGAATAATCTTGCCAATTTACTTAAGGATGAAGGAAAATATGATGCTGCTGAAAATTTATTTAAACAAGCTGTTACATTACAGTAAGATTTTATGGGACATTTTTTTAAGTATATAATTAATTAAGTATATAATTAAAAATAACATTACTTTTTGATTTTATTTTATTTTTTAATCATAATTACATACAAATTATATTAAACAATTACAGAAAAGATTTTGCGACTGCATGGATGAATTATGGTATAATTTTATCTGCACTTAAAAGATATGAAGAATCTGAAAAGAGTTATTTAACTGCATTGTCTCAAAAACCCAAGTATCCTGATTGTTATTATAATTTAGGTGTTTTGGTAAAAAAAATAACATTTTTTAAGAAATTATATTTACACATATATATACATATTGGTTAATTTTAATTAACATAATTACTATTAAAAGTTCAGTAAGTACTTCTAATATTTGTTATTGTAGTATTTAGAACAAAAACAATATCACAAAGCATTGACAGCTTGGACAAATGCAACAAAATTAAAAGTAACTCATAGAAGAGCATGGACAAATATGATAATACTGTTAGATGATTTAGGTATGTGAATTAAATTTTTTTGTATAGTTAATAAAAAAATTATTAATTTGATGATTTATATTGTATTCGTAGGTATGTCAGAAGAAGCACTGAAAATTGCAAATGAAGCTTTAAAATACGTTCCTGATTATGCATCAATATATTTTAACATTGCTAATATATTAGGTAAAGTAGGTAGATTTTCAGAAGCAGAGGTACATTTTAAACAAGCAATATTAAGGAATCCAACAGATCCTATGTTCTATACAAATTTAGGTACGTTTTTTTTCCGCCTTGTATATATTTCATAATAAATGATACTATTGTACATAGAACATATTATGTATTAATATCCACACAAGCTACTACATTATCTATTTTTGTAGGTGTATTGTATCATCGTTGGAATAAAGTCAGTGAAGCAGAATATATGTATAAAAAAGCATTGGAGTTCAACCCACATTCGCACAGTGCAAAAGAAAATTTAAAAAAATTGCGATCATTAAAACGATCAGTAAAATAATTTTATTTTTGTACATTTTTTATACATTGTTTTTAATATATTTATATTTGAAATGGTTAGAATTACATTAATATTTACGTAATATCTTTTTTTTCGTTTTCTTCTTCTTCCTCTTCTTCTTCTTCTTCTCTCATAAGATTAGAATCACAGGGGTAGCGGTATGCTTTAAAATTTCCAATCTTTTTACCATCAATGTAATTGTATGATTTGAAACAACTTTCACAAAAAAAGCAAGGATTATGAGGTACTCTATCATGATCTGTTGTAATCCATCGAACAGGCAGAAGTCCACACATAAAACAGTAATTAGCTCTTTGGGGTCTAATCCTTTGTATTCTTGGATATGCAGATATATGTAATTCGTCATAAGGTTGTACCAGTCTAGATAAAAATTAAATTTGAATTAAAATAATTAAACAGAGAAAATTTTATAATATATATGATTTTCAAATAAAGGTTAATATACCTTGCATCACTGAATATAATGAGATGTTCGCAGAAACCTTGATGTTGGTATACCCATGGATAGCCAAATCTTACAGAAAGGGAATCTATTGTAATTTTTTCCATAGAATCAGTATTAAATGGTCCTAATTGTTTTGCCTTTGCCCATTCTATTATTACTTTACTATAATCTATATTTGCTGGATCTCTAAAGTCATTGTAAAATGTATCTTCTATATAAAAGAAGCCTGACTTGTACACATCCTAAAAAAAGAGCCATATTAGGAATAAACTTCAAACACAGTAAATAGGAAAATTTACTTTTGCCATTGGTTGAAACGGTTGATTAGGATTATCACTGGTTTCTATTGGAATTGTTAAATCTGATAAACATTTTATTTTATCACGTAATTCAGCAAGCGTCTGTTTTCCTAATATTGTTATTACATATTTCAGAGTAGGTTTTGTCTTTTTGTAATTACTTTTCATTTGATTTGATGAATGCATAAAAGGTTCATATATTCTAATATCAATAAAAATATCTTCATACGGTACAGCAAGGTCAATTGTGTTTTCATTATGTTTGTTGATCTTTCCATGCTTCTGTAAATATTAATTTCAATATAATTAAATAGATATAAGAATTATTTTATAGCTATATAGGTAACAATGACCAGCATACAATAAATAGTTCACTAGTAAATTTAAAAAGATATTGATCCTTCGATTCTTTCCTCTTTTTCAACTGCCGTATAGTTTCTAAGTTAATATCTTCTGTAATCATAGATACTTTACGTAAATCTTTGTTTTTTATTGGCAGATTTTCTTTCATTCTAGGAACCTCTCCAGGTACAGTTAAATTTTCTTCGCTTAAAACATAAAGTTATTTTTATCCAAATAATTATATAAAGTATATATTTATATGAGTCTACAAAAAATACCTGCAGTACTCTGACAACAAATCCATTTCCTCATTTCCTAAATCATTTTTCATTATTTTAAGAATAGATTGATCTTTTGTTGTAGCCAAACAACTAAGATAAAACGGCTTCATAATACTGGAATATTTTTCAAAATATTCCTTTATATTAATTTTTTCTGAAGCGTTCTGATTATAGTGACCATATACCAAATCCATTTCTTTTTTAAATTATAACTATGATTATTTATGAATACAAAACAGTCACGATTATTTAATTTGTCATGTCATATTAAAAATATCAGTACAAGTATTATATCGAAATTTTAATCTTATACAAATAACGTGTTCATGATAACATGTTCAATTCTATAGAATATTTGCCACTTTTATTTTGATACACAAATTATTACTTCATCTGAATTTTATCACGAACTATTATGATAAATCCATGCTACACATACGTCGCAGAAATACTGCGCATACGTATCAAGGTATATTAGCGCGAAAACATCTGATTCGTTAATGTCTTCAGTACCGTACGTATATCAAAATAAACGGGTGCATTTTACTAACGACGTAAATGAATTTTTATAATTTAAATCAATTTATAAATTTTATCTTTCTATATAAAAATAATTGAATTTTCATTTTTCAATCAAATCATCTTTTAATCAAAATCTGAAAAAAATTTTTCATTGAATATTAATTGTTACATAATAAGTGACGTACTAAAATTAATTATCTATTAATCAAGAGTGTCATTTTTTACAAGTATTACTATCGATTAAATTTGAAAATTAATAAAAAAAATGCCTAAAAGAAACTTCCTAAGACGATAAGATCCATCAAGATCGTTTGAGTATCGCATTAAAAAGAAAACGAAAATGTCGGACATAGAAACAAAAATAGAAAAAAAATTACCTTATAGAGGACTTGTTATGAATAATAAAAAAAAAAGCAAGGAATCATCTTAACGGAGCAAACAGGGTGGAAAACGATTCTGAGGAGGGAGCACGAGTAAGTAAGTAGGGTGTCTTTCGAATAGTTATGTAGTCAGACCAGAGCGACAAGAAAAGAGAATGAGAGAAAGGGAGAGAGAGAGAGAAAAAGAGGAAAAGAGAGAGAAATAGAGAAAGAGAGAGACAGACAGACGGGGGGAGAGAGAGAGAGAGAGAGACACACACAAACAGAAAGAGAGAGAGAATGAAAGAGAAAGAGAGAGAGACTTCTAGGGTAGGAACGGACAATGAAGAGGCGTCGACCACAGGCGCTCACGGCGCACTGCACTCGCCAATGGTCCGTGCGAGTTCGGCAAGCGTGGCGAGTTTGGCCACGCCCCCTAAGCGTGGCCACTCTCTCGCGGGACCTTCACGGTCGAGCATATTGCACGCTTGACGAAGCGCGCACGAACGCATCTCGATAGAATAAGAGAGAGAGAGAGAGAGAAAATAATTTGGCGGGGGCCGTATCGGCGTGTTTGGCCTGCCTTCACCACGACTAAGCGGCAAAAGGAGAGAGAGTCGAGAGAAGATTTCTTATTTCTGCTCTGGTAAATCTGTCGGGGCAGTCAGTGTGAGGCTGTGAAGGCCGAACCGCGCATCATTGCTTCGCGGTTAATTATTTTCTATTTGGTCTATCTGTCTCTTTCTTTCTTTCTTTCTTTTTTTCTTTCTCTCTTTCTCTCTTTCTCTTTCTCTCTTTTTTCTTTCTGTCTCTCTCTTTTTCTCTTTCTCTTCTCTCTTTTTCCCTCCCTTTCTTATACACATACCACACACATATATATATACGCGCGCGCGTGTGCACACACACACATTTCTTAGAATTTCGCGATCATATACACGCAGGTATAAACAAAAAATATAAACAATAAAGAGAAAGAAATATAACTTTGATAGACGTTGGTGTTCAGTGCGTGGCCCGGCATTGCGCCATTTCAAGTTGCGCCACGCGTTGCGCCACGCTTCCGCGCGCGCGAAAATTCTGCGTAACGCGTCGACGCGCCGCCGGTCGCGTGTGCGTTTCCATCCGCACGGTGTTTGGTGCATATGTGTGCTTTCACGCTTTTGCCGTTAACAAATTTTAATGCGGACGAAAGGTACAGAGATTCGAATCTCGTGACAAATTTTTTTATCTGTCGATAAAAAGAGATACAAAGATAGAAAGAAAGAACGTGAGAAAGAGAGAGAGAGAGAGAGACAGAGAGAGAGAGAGAGATCGTAGATCGATCGATCGATCTTAGAATATTTTATGTAGCCGACGGACACAAACCTGGCCTTCTCTCTCGCGCGTATCGATGGATCCGATCGTCCTAGGTGAGCTTATAATCGATATAACTCGATCGATTTTTGATAGTTCTCGTTTTTTCTTTTTTATTTATTTATTTATTTATTTATTTATTTATTTATTTATTTATTTATCTATTTATTTACTTTTCTATCTTAATCATGCGTTCTTTTGTTTCTAATGTGACGATGTGAATTGTAGACGATGATTAATTATATTATGTATATCATAGATACGTCTATTTTAAAGATGTACGTCTATAATATGAAAAGGGAAAGTTTCGTTTAAAATATGCAAGACAATGAGAAAAAATGTAACTGTCGTCGCCTGTTTTGTTTCATAAACAAACCCAGGGTATCTTTATAAACTGATCCAATGGAAGTTGTTTTACTTTGATCGGAGTTTATACCTATCGAAAAATATCATTATTTTAAATATTCGTTAGTTTGTCAACAGTCCGTCGATAATAAATTTATAAGTTAATTGATTCACTTGCTTATATTATGATATATCTATATATATCTATATATATATATATCAACTTGTTTATTTAATAAATTTATATTTATTGAAACTCTTTGAAAATATTAAAGATCGCGAAGAAACGTCGAAGTATCATTGAAAACACAATATACGATTGAATGGATCGTTGCACTCGACGGAAGGAGAATATCGTGTTACCTTTTGTAAGACTTTCGTCGAAACAGTAATTCCGAAATTTATTATCTTTTCGATGTGCTCGAAATGAAAATAGATTTTCTTCTCTGACATTTAAGTATCCACGTATGTATTTATGTATGAGATAAGACTCGTAGATCGTATGTGACGATTATTTTTTTTATGACGTTGAAAAATCGTTCAGTTTATATTTTTTTTTTATGTAACTATCTGTAAAGCTTTATGAGAATAATGAAGAGAACAATATTTTAGAAAGAATAGTGTTCCTTATTAAAAATGGATTTTTAAAAACTTTTGCTTTACCTTTCGCTCTGTAAATATCGATCAACATGAATATTTTCAATTTTCTTTGATACTTTTCAAACGAAGCTACATAGATAAATTGCATTTAAAAAGAAAGAGAGAAAGGGAAAGAGAGAGAGAGAGAAAGAAAGAGAGAGAGAGAGAGAGAGAGAGAAAGGAGAGACAATCGATCCTAAAAAAATTAGGTGTGCGTTTCAATTAATTTCGACCTATTTCCCTTAGAAATTAAAAGCAGCGCGATACAATGTTATGACTCGCTTTGGCGCCACTCGCACACATCGTCGGATAGATTATAATATAAATGTGAGAAAAGGAAATCTTATATTGCGTGTATATTATCATTGTATTCGTATGTGTATTTTTCTCTTAGGCATTTCGTATTTTTGCACAAAGAAAATTATAGTGCGCGATAATCATTAGATTACTTACTTACTACGTACCTATCTATATTTAAAAATAAAATTGATTTATTTTTTTTGCATGGAAATTAATTAAACGTGGATGACAATTATGTTAATCTGCTAGATTTATAATATTAATTATAATATTATCGCTGTTTTTTTTATTATCATTACCTTTGTCTACCTAGCCTGATGTTCAATTTTTTTGTTAGGCAAATTAGGACGTTAAAGACATTGTATAAACTCATATATGCACTGATAATGATAATACCATAGAGATACGTGAGAGAATGTGATTTGGTTCATTCATAGAAAGTATGCCTGCTGTACTCATTTCTCTGGCAACCTCTGACCTTGTGGGTCCCGGATGCCCTGCCAACTCCTTATCGCTGGCTTTCAGTCTTTTTTAAGCTCATCGGTCGTCGTTGAACGAGAACGAAATACGAGTAGTAAGTGAACCAGAGAATCGTTCTTTAATAATTACGCGTTATATTGCGGAATATAGTATAATATATGTACCTACATGTGAGCGTGATGTGTTAATTTGAACATTTTGATACGTTGAGTGTAACGTGTTAATTCAATGAGAGAGAGAAGAAAAGAAAGAAAGAAAAAATAGGGAGAGGGAGAGAGAAAGAGAGAAAGAGAGAGGGAGAGAGACAGAGAAACATTATGTAACTTTACTCGCATAATTTTATTAATAATACTAACTGGCAAAATGTGTTGACAAGTCCATCATCCATTAAAATTGTTTTCTGTTAGATTTATTTATCTATAGATAATAATTATATAAAATCGTTCGTCATGCATAATCGGCTTGGTAACATCGGGAATTAATAAGAGAGATCGACGATTACAATATTAAAACGATTTTGCTAAATAATACATACATCGGGTCTTGAGATGATGAACGCTTTAAAAGTATTATCATTATCAGCCTCCGCTTTTTCCTCTGTGACGTTAAGAATCTTCGAAGTCATTGACACCAATACATCCACATACGTGCAGTCGCGACTATAGTTCAAGACCTCGATACGTAGTTTGATATATTGGAAACGTACGGTCAAGATAGAGGATTCGAATATTCAAAAGGGACTTGTCAAGATATTCATCCGAGAAGAACTAAAAAATTTTAGTCGAGAGAGAAACTAGTCACTAAATTTTTACAGCCTATTATTTTATAAATTATTAGTATTGTGTTATCTTCACCTTTGGATTTATCACTTAGACTCTACAGTTTAGTCGTTCATTCACCTATTTATCTATTCGTGTCTTGCAATGATAAGAAATTAAACTTTCTCTATTTCTCTCTCTTTCTCTCTCCCTTTTTCTCCCTCTCTTTCTCTCTGTTTATGTCATTCGAATTTCTTTCGAAAAGTATTGGAAGAAATAGTAGTAGATTGTAAAAGATTATTTCTATCTTTTTCATCTCTTTCTCTCGTTATTATAGTATTAAGTATTGTCTTTCCTTTTGTTCTTCCATTTGGGATGAAAGTTTTCCAATTTAAAGGGAAATTCAAAAGGACAAAGCAGATATATCCAGGTGAACTCTCAATGAGTTCTTTCCGCAGTGGGACCAGAACATGTTTACAGATTTATTAAGGTTCAATTAGTAATATTTGTGTCGGTTAAACAAGAAATGTGGCTTTTAAAGTGCACGCAGGCAATGGTCGAAATCCCGTTGACAAAGGACTCCGCAAATATTTCTGTTGGCTCCCGAAGAATTCTCAGGTTTTAACTTTGGAATCCATTTCTGACTGCTACGTTCTTTTCTGCTACTGTAATATGTATGTATACTATTGTATTGACATAGTCCAAATATTTCTTGTAAATTTGTTAGTTTTCTAATTCGTATTCGTAAGAGACTTTTTTTTGTTTCTTTTTTTTTTTAATGAAATTAATGAATTATTTAAGTTATTCATTTCTAATGGCTTATCATATAAAGTCGGATACAAAGTCTTAGATAAATGTTTCATAGTAAAAAACAAGAAAACGAATTATTCGGATGATCGTGATACCATCCAAACATGAGAAATAACAAATGAATGCGACATCCCGAGGTATTTATGAATTATCCGTACTCCTCACGTCCTATTAAACGCGTAACGTACCAAACTATCATCGTGTCATACGTCAAAAGACTCTTTCGTTCAATCATCGACGTGCCCGTTATATTGCACCCTCGCTTAGATTACCAATGAAATTTTGCACAGACGTCTCGTGACTTCTCATAAGTGAACAACGATTGGCTACTTGCCACAAGAGAACGAGTTTCTTAATGTTGCATTCTAAAGATTTATTATAGTGAAATAATAAGATGACTCACAAGGAATAGATGAGTCTCAGTCTATGAAGATAATTTTTATTTGCCTGATTAAATGAAAAGCGTGATAAAATCATGATATTAATAAAAAAAAAATCGTTTAACGTTAACACAGAAAAAGAAGTGGGAATTGATATAATTCAATGGGAGAAGTAGGAATAATATATAATTTTATTACATAAATGTTAACTGAGTGTAATAAAATTTTGATAAAACATTAAAATGTATATCTAAATCTTGATAAATGAAGTCTGAAATTATCTGAAAATTTGACAGAATTCGTTGACTCGTCATAAAAGCCAAACTCGTATCGCGGATCGAACTACAAGGATTCTTTACCGAAATGTGAAACGCGCGCTCTCACTTTGACTGCCGAGGAAAAAGGAATAAGTTTCGTCGGAGGCACGAAAGTTTTTTGTTCCTCGATCGAATATATTTCGGTACCACTGTCATCGCGTATCCCAGATGCGAGCTTGCTACCAACACGCGTGCACACGAATACACCAATCCAACGTATGTACATGCGGGATATATTTTGCACGGATATATTTTAGGTGAGCAGGGAGGGTTATAGAAACGGGAGACGAAGATAGAAAATAGAAAGGAGGAAGGAATAAATAAAATGCTTTCTTAAATATAGTCGATAATTAATTTATTAAAATCACATTTTTCTTGTACATGTAAAGACAAATTTTCAATTTGTCCATTGTAATTAACGTTTTCTTTTACATCGATATCTGTTATATGATTTATGTCATTTTTAATATCCTATCTAGTAATAGGTAGGTATCATTCGAAGAACATCATATCTATCGTCAATCGAAAATGTCTTTTGTATTATTGTCAAGAATATCACAGTAAAAACGCAACGATTTGGCCGGTTCCCAATATATAAGATCTTTCGGAATAATGAATTTTACACGATGAGACTTGACAAGTGCTATTTTGAATACTCGCATACATAAACAATAGATGAATTGGCATTAGAAATTGACACCATCGAAATGTGCGAATATAATAATAATGGATTTTCAAATTTCTCCGCTAAATTTTATATTTGTCATCGTACAATCACGAATGAGGAGATTATAAATAATCGAGTGACATTTATCGTTCAATGAGAAATGTCGACGGTCTAAAAAAAAAATTTTTTTTAATCGCCATCAACGATTTTAAAAAAGCTATGCGAAAATTAAAGAAAAATGTTAAATGCGGTTGGAGATGCGCGAACTACTAATCAACGACACATGCGAACGAATTATCGTGAAAACAAAATCAAAGATTCGTTTCTATAAAAGCTAAGATATACCGACAAAGGGGCAAGTTGGGCTCGATAATTAGCGAGTTAGATGGTAGACAAACACCGGCCGCGTTTCGAGCATCCATATAAGCGGGGACATATGTTCAACGGGTGACACTGACATCCATCACGTGAGATCGTGCACGCCCATTTCTCCTACACTCTCCGCATTTACACTCTTCTACCTACGCCTATGGGTTCCTCTCTCTTTTTCTATCTTTCACTTTCTCTTTCCTCCTCTCTTCTCCATCTTAATAAATTTTCCTTTTATCCAATTTTAAATAGTTATATTGAAAGAATCGCCATTTTAAACTAACTTTATCCTAACAATCGCATATCATTATACATATTGTATAATATTGTATAATTTAATAAGTAGATATATACATGTAAATTATATGTAAAAGAAGAAAAAAGAATATATATATATATATATATATATATATATATATATATATATAATATACAATTAGTGTATCTATATAAAATATATTTTACTATAAATTAACATTTATTTTTCATACTTTTCTTAATAGACATCTTATATACTATACATATGTATAATTTAATAAATATATACGCGTATGTAAATTATTTCAATTGAATAATGATTACAACAAATAGACAATAATTAAACGTAAAATGTACTTCCCCATACGTTTTGTTTAGTATGATGATAAAATTCCAAGTCGATAAACTATGCTCGTGATAACGGATGTACCTGAACAAATTCGTCGTAGAAGATCGAGTGAGCACATCGTACGAATGCGTTCTATGGAAGCCCGAGTTAGACTTATTTTACACGAATATACAGATGCACATATATACTCATATATGTGTTTTCACAGGATAGAAATCGTCGCATCCGCACGTTCACTACACTAACAAATACACGCATACACACATGTAAATACAGACGATCGCGTAATATTATTAGACTTTTTCTGGTGAGCGGTGATGAATGGTCGTGCTCAAAGGCTCCGACGCGTGTAGTCATTTTACACTCGTGTAATACATGTACATTTGACTTAAGAAGGCCACGACTTAACTCTCTTCAGTGTGTGCGTAAACGCTTATCGAGATGAAGGAAGAGATGCGAGACGGCTTTTAACGACAATACATCTCGTTTTCCAATTTTCTTTTCTTTTTTTTTCCTTTTTTTTTTTAGTACTTTATCTTAAATAAAATAAATAACGACGCACGCTCACACATGTGCAATAATAATGGAGAACAATTTATAAAGACTAGATAATATGTTTTATAATAATTAGTACTTAATAGAATTAATATATAATTAATATACTGGATAATTTATACAGTAATAGCAAGTATCTATTTTGCATAATAACTTAATTTAGGTATATAGCAATATGTTCTCCAAACTAAGATCAATAATTTTTGAAATTACAAAACAGGTCTGTCCAAACAGACTGTCGATTAAAAACAGATTATCGATTAAAAAATCTTATTATTCGTCACTTAAAATATAAAATAGTAAATAGAAATTATCGAAATGAATAAGAAATTCGGATTGAACGATGACATTGGACGTCTAGAAATTTTAGCGAATCATCGTTGAGACAATCGGGTCAATGCGAATGGTCTCGCACAGAAGAAGTAAGAAGAGAGAAAAAAGAAAAAATGAGAGAGAGAGAGAGAGAGAAAGAGAGAAAGAGGAATACGGTCCAGCAGCATCCCGACGGTAGAGGGGAATCACTCAGCGAGTTTAATGTACCGTGCGTTGCTTTACGGAGATTCAGGATCGTCATTAAAAGGCGAGGGCCAAAAGAGATAGAGAAAAAAATGACGATGCAGTTGACGCGCAAAAACGGTCTCCCCAACCTTCTCTCATCCCTCTCTAAGCCCTCCTTCTTCTCTCCCTGAACTCTACCCAGCCCTACCCTCTGACCCTCGGCGGCTTCGAGAGCTCCGTCCTCCGACGAAACTCTTTTTCCAGGAATAAGAGGAGGCACCCAAAAGGGTTCCCTTTACGTCGACCTTTTCTTATTTATCGTATCCTCTTCGAAAGCTTACCCAAAGTCGCCTTATATTTCCTGATACATATATATATACATATATATATATACATATATATATACATATATATATATACATATATATATACATATATATATATATATACATATATATATATACATATATATATATACATATATATATATATACATATATATATATATACATATATATATATATTTGTGTATATATATAAACGAGAAAAAGAAATGAAATTGATTGGTTTTTGAAAAATATTTAAGTAGGTACGAAAGAAATAAGAAAGACAGAAAGGAAAAAAAGAAAAAATGTGCTTTTAACAAAATCGAAAGATGTAAGAGAAACATTTTCGTATGGAACAAGTAGTACCTAAGTAAGTACTTACACGTGGGAGAGCAAACAAACATGGCGGTCACAGAAAGAGCAAGTAAACGTAAAATAGACGTAGAAATAAATGTCCACATAAAATACACTTACATACGTATGTTACCCATTCTCTTTCCTTTAGTACTGACGTTTATTAACAAAATAAAATAATATATTTCTACATATACATATACCTCTTTTTCTCTCTTTCTCTCTCACTATGTATATATATATAGCCTTTCATAAAATTGATTTCAAAAAAAAGTTCATAGATGAGATGACAATGAAGAAATTCCATTGAAAATCCATCAGAATATCCATTGAGTATTCAATTTCAATGACGAAATGTCAAACGAATTTCGAACATTAAGATACAAATTGAATTGACTTTGTGGCTCTAATGGAACGTGAAGAGGAAGAGGGGCTGATATTGGGGCTATAAATTCGTACATTCTACATGAACAGAATATACTTATGTGGAAAATCGGGAGAACATGTGTCACTTGTTTTCGACATAATTGGAATGTGTATCCAAGAGAGAAAATGAGAGAGAGAGAGAGAGAGAGAGAGAGAGAGAGAGAGAGAGAGAGAGAGAAAGAGAGAGAGTAAAGGAAAAAGAGAAACTGTGAAGATTTTCTGGTTTAAAGATAGAGCTTCCTGTCGTTTCTGCTCGAAAGATCGCTACATGTTCGGTTAATCAGGAGAAATAGAATTTTGGTGGATTTGGAATGTGACTAGGGACGATTCCTTGTGCGTGGGGTAACCGTTTGCTAATTAAGCTTTATGGTAAGACGATACGGACTAACGCGAGTCTCGTACAGTCCTGAGTTACCTCATTGCCAAACGTTGTACATCTGCATCTCATTAAAACGAGTAATCATGGCAGAAGGTAGAATACACCTAATACCACGGATAAGAATGTATGTATATATCATTATCGCTGTTATTTATTGTCGTCCTTATCGATTTCGGAACATTTAGATAACGGAACGAATAAGATTAGAAAGATCTTAGGGGAAAAAGAAAAGGATCAGAGACGAAATTAGATACCTACTTTAATGATGTATTTGATGTGTTCATTGATATCTTTTAGTTCTCAAAGAAAAAATGAAAAGAAGAAAAAAATTTGTATTTTTTTAAGAGTGACTTATTGATATAACATTTTCTTACTTAAATATTATTTTCCTTTGAGTATATACGCCAAAATATAAACAACTTTCGGGACACGATTTGTCTTCAAGTAATGCAAAAAATTACTATCCTTGCCGAGTCCGCTGATGCGTCTTGAAGTTTCTTTCTAGAAATTAATTCGCTTAGTTATCGAGACAATCGAAAGAAATCCACATTAAAGTCGGCTCTCTTCATGAATAGAACCGTTGATAAGTGTGAAGGAAACGAGTGTATATCATTTAACGAACAAGAAGCATTCATTATTTTCTCTTTTTGAATGAAACTGAAAAAGCCAATCGGAAGAATAACATTTATTTTACTTTATTATATATCATGTATATATATCCCTATATGTATATATTCCTAGGTAATACATTAAATACAATGAAACTTAAACCAATATTTATAACGGGACCTACAAAAAATTGTCTTTCTTATTTATTCACAGAAAGCGCTGGCGAGATCGGTACTCAGCAGCAACAGCAGCATCAGCATCAACATCAGCATCAACATCATCATCCGCATCAGCAGCAGCAACAACAACAACAGCAACAACAGCAGCAACAACAACAACAGCAACAACAATACGGCGAGGTGAACCAATTGGGTGGAGTATTTGTGAACGGCAGACCACTACCAAACGCAGTACGTTTGAGAATAGTCGAGTTAGCTCAATTGGGCATCAGACCCTGCGACATTTCACGACAACTCCGAGTCAGCCATGGATGCGTCAGTAAAATACTCGCACGTTACCATGAAACCGGAAGTATATTGCCTGGTGCAATCGGTGGAAGCAAGCCACGTGTCACCACACCTAAAGTCGTACAATATATAAAGCAACTTAAACTTAAGGACCCTGGTATATTCGCTTGGGAAATAAGAGACCGTCTCCTGTCCGACGGTGTCTGCGACAAATACAACGTGCCATCGGTTTCGAGCATATCAAGGATACTACGGAACAAAGTTGGAGCTACCACGACGATGCATCATCATCCGCATCATCCAGCTCATCATCATCATCATCTTTATGCAGCCGCAGCGGCTGCCGCTGGTGCAGCACTGTGTCCTGTTCCGTATCCACCAGCACCATATCATGCGACGCCTTCGCCGACCCATCATCATCATCATCACCATCAAGGTCGGTATACTGCCACGATTAGATGAATATTTTTTTCATGAAAGCCTCCATTATCGCCTGTCAGGATATATCTATTTGAAGAATATTCTGAGTTCTTATTAACTGCTCGATCAATTGGGTATTTGACTAAGTACTTAGCAGATTAGTCTAATCCGAACATGAGTGATTAATTGCACAGGAAAGTAGAGATATTAATAATTTCGTAAGTACCCATCTCGTCAATTTATCAATTTTAAATAAGAGCTCTAACTGTTGATACCTACTTAAATACAGATTTACACGGATTAGAAATGAATTTTGTTGACGTTTGATTAATTAGTATGATAAATGTAATATAATGTAAACATAGATGATAGATATCTATAGTGGCTTTAAAAATATTTATACGTTTTTTAGAAGTATAAATAACATTTTTTAGAAGAAATCAAATTATTCTAAAAGAAAGTTCGAAGAAGAGTTCACCATTAAATTACAACGTGAGCGAATGAATGAAGCGACATGCGTCCATCGCAAACCTGTAGTATACATTCAGTTCTAGCAGTGAGTTCGCGGGATGTCAGGCAACAGTCTCACCTCTTTCTTCCGTCCTGATAGAAGCGCGGCCTATACATATACGAAACGAACTTCCTACCAATTTGGTACCGCTGCGTTTCCAGTTGGTACGTCAACGGCGATCAAGCTGTCCACGTCATCGTCAGCATCCTTGATATACACCAGTGGTGAGATCCAAGCGATAGCAGCAACGACCGCAACACTGACGGCACTATCAACAACAGTAACAGCAGTGTCAACAATTACAACGACGACGACGACAGCAACAATGGCGGTCGCGGCAGCTGCAGCAACAACAGCTGGTATTCTTCAGTGGCCGAGTCCTCACACTGTCCAGGATATTTTATCGATTGGCGTCACTGCGAATGGCACACCAAGTACCACTTACTCCTTTCCTGATTCACCTGCTTGCACGAACATTCTTCTCAACAACAACAATAACAATCACATTACCAACAACAACGTTAGTTACCACGATCTTTCCCATCGTCACCATCATCATCATCATCAACAGCAACAACAACAGCAACAGCAACACAGTCAATTGCATCATCGGCAGAATAACGACGGTACCTCAGGGAGCAATAACAGCAACAATAATAATAGTAATAATAACGACGACAGCAATAACGGCAGTAGTAATGCCAGTTGCGATAGCGTCGGTAATAATAATAGAGAAACGACACCGAGTGGGTACCAAAGTCTCTCTTATCAAGCTCATCATCATCATCATCATTATCATCATCATCATCAACAACAGCAGTATTATGCTTCCGCGCTCTATCACCATCATCACCATCATCATCATCATCCAGATAGCGTGAGACCGCTCGCGGCCGGCTCGCCTGTTCTCTCGCCGGTTCTTTCGGTCCAACCGATAATGATGCAACTATCGAGTAGTCAACCTGCCAGTCCGTGTAATTAATGGTCGATAGACACTTTCTCGATATGTGTTCATCATTGATCGTTCGTTCGATCGTCATTCAACTAAATGCGATAATGAGCTGTGTGAATTGAAAAAGACTTCATAAAAGAAAACAGTGCCTTTCGTAGATTCGATTCGATGACACGTAATCGAACAAACTGACAAATCCAATTTGAAAGTTGGTACTTTAATTGCCAATATCCTAAATACCAAAGACTATCATCTAAGCATCTTTTTCTTTCATTCTCTATTTTTCTTTTCTACGCGTTTCGCGTTCTAACTTTCTATGGAAATTTATCAATCAAATGATTATTAAGTAGATAAATACGTGTTTTGCGTATATGAACGAAGTGATATTTCAGTGAAGTGCACTAAATATTTACACGTAAGTATGCGAAAAAAACTATGATAATCATATCTATCGCAGATCAATTTTTTTTATTATTCCAAATGGTAGCTACGATGAGAATGAAGATTTTTGAAAAAAATATTATACGTGATTTGGTGAAAATATCGGTCAATTATTTGCCATTACAAATGGAGAATCTTTTTTTTCCTCATGGATTATTTAAAAAAAAACGTATAACGTCATACCATTTTTATTGTATTCTATCATTGGTAGCCGTTGACAAAATTTCTACCAAATTCAGCGGCCGGTACGTTGTATGATTGCTCGTTATACAAAATCTTTAATATTTGTTTCTAACAAATATTAACAGATAATTGTCATGCATATGAGATTCTATTTATATACATATTACAAATATGTATACTTATCGAAAAGGTAAGAAAAGAAATTGATTTTTTTTTTCTGTTTTTAGTAAAGAGAACTTAACGTGCCTTTATACCATTATTACATATAATTACACGTTTCTTCTCGTTTAATTTAAAAACGTTTCTACACATAAAACAACGATCTTTAAGAAAGTATTAACTTCGTATCTTCTACGACTAATCATATCACGTCGTGCGTACTTATACACACGTATTACCAGTATTCAAAATGTTTGAGTTGACGATTAATACCAAAAATCAGTACGCGATATAACGTGTTATTTTAATAAATATATAATGTTTAACTATTACAAAGAGCTTCGTGTCTCTTTTGTTCGATTTAAATATATATGTATATATATATATACATATATTGTCTTACCCTCTTCGTATGTATGTATGTATATATGTAAAGTACCTATGAATGCATGTATGTCATATAATCGTAAAAAGCAAATTTGGATATTTCGAGGAAGAAATATGCCATGCATAGAATTTAACGCGCAATAATTCTGTAACTCTACGAGTCGACGAAAAGGAGTTAACCCTTCGTATTAAGATTATAAAAGCAGACGCTCCTACTTCGTCCAATCAGAAGCGATCGAGCGTGAAATCCCACCTCTACGACGATGCTGAACACCCACTCCCGGCGGTCCTAGCTTGGAAGGCCGCAAACAGAGTAACCAATCACAGTTCATCTCTCTAAGCAGGTAAGTAAATATGTTGTATTTTTCTGTGAATGAAAAGAAACAGTTATTAAATCTTAAATAACTTACAATTAATATATAATTATTTTTTATCTCATTAAATATCAACAAAAAAAGAAACAGAAATACACAGAGAGAGAGAGAGAGAGAGAGAGAGAGAGGGAGAAAGAAAGAGAGAGAAAAAGAAACCATATCAATAATAGAATATTGATAGAATAATATTTAAATTGGCCGCGTAATTTCCTTTGTAAAATGAATTCATTTCTCGCAAGAATTAAACATAAAAGCGTAAAGTAAAAGACGCTTTCGCGTAAAAGGGGTGGGGGATGGGGGAGGTCCTTGGTAGAGTCATTTCTATGTATATGTTATATGTTTCTTTTCTTTTTTGGACATTTAGACACACATAATATAACGAAGGCCAGCCGTTACGGCGTTTGGAAGCCGTCCCTTTGAAATTCGAACGTTCATTCCTACTCCGCCCACGGGTATTCTATTATACTAGTTTAAAAGGAGCGCGACAGGAGCACGATTGAAGTGGAAACTCGTTATTACTGCCTGTTCTTCAGAAACCACCGTCGATGGGTGTCAGCTTTCCCCTCTCGTTCTCATTATTTCTTATCAAAATGTGAATGAGAAGAAATTTTCATTCGATCTGCGCCAGCCATCTTGACTCTATGGCGCAAGTTTTAAACCTCGATCGTGCGATTGCCGAAAGAAAGAAGGTGGACTGAAGCCGAATTGGAAAAGAAATGATAACGTAAGTTACATATTAATTTTTTTGTTTAAATATTCGTCAAATAAAAAATACCTAATAGTTATTGCGAAAGCGCGATGAAATACCTACGCTCGTTCGTCTTCCCTATGGGGCTTCCTTAAAATACAGGGGCAATATCTTCTTCTCGTGATGTTTCTTCCTACGGTACGACGCCACCGTGAACGCGTTTCGCTCGATTAGGAACTGCGCCATGATGAAAATGCAGCTAATATAAATTGGCGAAACTAAGAAGTTTCTCTCTGTCTCCTTCTCTTGCGGTGACGAGCGTTCAGCGAACCTTTAACTTATAATTAGAATGAAAGTTCTCGAAAACTCGAGAAATAAGAAAATTTTTGTTTTAATACCAGCAGGTTCATTGTTTAACCTATATCAAGTAATTGTGTTTAAATATATATATATATATATTACATATATGTATATATATATATATTTAAACACAATTAAATTAGCGAATAATTCTCTCAGTATTGAATGACTTTTCGAAACACCCTGTATATCGCTATTTTGCATACCAGTCTCGAAGAGTCATAAAAGTAACTAAGAAAGAGAAAGAGAGAGAGAGAGAGGAAGAGAGAGGCGGAACACATAATTAAGAAAGTCTCAGTACTCTTCTCTCTCTCTCTTTCTCTCTCTGCCTCTCTCTCTCTCTCTCTCTCTCTCTCTCTCTCTCTCTCTCTCTCTCTCTCTCTCTCTCTCTCTCTCTCTCTCTCTTTCAAGACGACGAAGACATCGGCTTCTCTCTCGCGGTGGTGGCAAAGCGGCCTGCCTCTTTCCCCGTTTTACATTCGGCAGTACAAATAGCTCGGCGACCCCTGGCCTCGTGTCGGCTCCTCTCATGTTTCTTCCTCAGAGTGCTTGTCTCTCTTGTCGCGCACGCTTCACGCTTCTGCGCGCCCACACCCTTGCTTGTCTCTCTCTCTCTCTCTCTCTCTCTCGCTTTCTCTTTCTCTCTCATATACACCCTTTCTTTCTTTCCTTCGTCGTCGACGATGCCGATGCCGACGCCGACGCCGACGCCGACGCCGACGCCGACGCCGACGCTGACGATGTCGACTTTTGAATCTCTACTTCCTTTTCTTTTCTCTTTTCTCGTATGCCGAAGAACTGCCTGGCGGAGACACATTAGCCGTATTCCGAGTTTGCATGGCGGAACGCCTCCTTTTCCTCGTCCTCCTGTACCACCTTTTTCTTCTTCTTCTTCTTCTCCTCTTCCTCCTCTTCTTCTTCTTCACCCCCTTTTCCTTCTTTCTTGTACCATCCCCACCCTCTCTAGCACGGTTATTATGAGGATGGATAGAGGTTGGAGCCGCCTTCCACGTATCCGTAGAGACCTAATGCCATCGACTTCTAAATTGTGTAAATTGCTAAATGAATGTGAAACGTTTAACTCCCACCAACTCACCTACCTCCGCCCCCTCACTTGCTCTCTCTCTTTCTTTCACTCTCTAAGACCAACCCTTCTCTTTTATTTCCTTTCTTTACCAGAGAAAGCATCGTAACACGAGCAATCAAAATACGACGCACTTTTCGGATGATATCCCTAATGTTCCGCTTTGATCGCCCAATTGTATTTTCCAATCTCTCTTCGAATTTATTTTTTTGGTATAATATTTTATATGAATATGTTTTTTTTTCTTTTTCGTTGAAAGTATTGAATTTCTCGTGACTAAACTTACTTTAAACATTTTCGGGAATCGGTTATTTTTCTCTCAAATTCTTCTTCCTCTTTTTTATCTTCTTTTTTCTTCTTTCTATCCTTTAATCTTTCTTGTTGATTATATTTTCAAGACAAACGTGCATATTGATTTACATACATTTATATGCATGCGTATTAGAGTATAAAATTGTACCGTTTCAATCATGAAATCTAATGAAATTTTTTATTCGCGTCCCTACTTATCCTTACAGACGTTTAGAAATGTTTAATGATATAAATTCATGTATTTTATGAAGTATAAGTATAATAAAAAGAGAAAACAATATGAGAATATATAAGAGGAGAATTTTACTGTATCAAGAATCCACGTTATACAATCATGCTGAAGAAGTTCTCTTTTTCTTTTCTTTTATTTTACTGATGATAGAAAAAAGAGTGTACAGTCTCTAAGGTGCTCTTTATTCCTGTATTTTCTGTTCCATATATATTTTACACTTTTTTTATGCCTTCAAATATAACGAGCGTTAGAGGAACAAAGAGAGCAGGTTTTCAAAGTGTACACCGACCGAGACTGTGATCACTTTTTTCTTATATTATCCGAGCGATTTGTCGGATTAATTCGCGCTTAGATGGTCCACGCCTATCGCTGGATTTATTGCAAAGAAAATTATTTCTATTGCAGAATATATTGCACACATTCTTCTTGTACTTTATATTCTGATAGCATGTAGTTACATTCTCATCGATATGAATACATCATGTAAAGACGATGTAATGTCCACAAATTAAAAAAAAAAAAGTCGGATTAACTTTAAAGAAAATGATAAAGCTTGTACAGCTTAACGTATATATACGAAAAACATTTCGAATTTTAATTATTGTTTGTTGAGAATGAACCATCACAGATGACTTCTTTTTTATGTATCCTATGTATGAAGTGTATATATATATATAATTATTGGAAAATAGTAAATTGTATAATTTTGAAAAGGATTTGATGTTAAAACATCCAGATTCTACATAGATATCGAAATAAAAAGAAAATTATACGCGATGCGTTGTTAATTTTTTTATAATGTCTTTACAATGTACGCGAAAATTCTAAAAGTAGATTTTTTTTATTTGCACAAGGATAATAGAACCGTGATCTTTTCACATAAAAGTTTCTTTGAACATCAATTCCGTATCTATGTTATTTCTGTTTTTTTTTAGTTTTTGATTCCAGAGGCAAAACCATGTGCTTTATTGAAAAATACTAAATAAAAAAGCTCCATTCTCTTGACTGGACCATCTAATGTACGTTGTATGTACAAACTGAGTATGAATACTTAATGCTAGCCATTGTTTTCGTCCTTTTTGATTTGGTCCACTTGTTTCTCATCATTTTTCTCAACCGCATTTTCAACAACATCTTCATCCTTTTCCGTCTTAATCGAAACATCTAAATCTTCTATTTTGGCTGTTTCTACATTATTCTCCGGATTTGGATCACGATTTTCTTCTCCTTCTTCTACAGTTTGAGATACCTCTTCCGATGCATTCAAAGATGTGTTTCCGTCAAAGTTTTGTTGCTGTTTTCCAAGGCCTATTTGCGTTTCTATCAATTCAAGTTCTTCGAGCAAAGCTTTTTCTCTTCTTTCAATTTCCTCTGTGATATGGAAAAAAAGAAAAGAGAAAAAAAACAAAAATTATTAAACAATAATATTGTTAAAATGACTACAGAAAAAATAAATTTACAATTAAAAGTGATATAAATACAAACCATGAAGTTCTTTCGCAGATTGAGCAAGCAAACTTTCAGTCTGAGGATTTTTTCGTTTTGGTATGTAGTATATAGAAGGTTGAGTACGTGTCTTTATAAACGAAGCAAGTGGTAATTGCGCAGCACGCCAATCTTGAAATTGTCGACTTCGCGCCAGCTTTGCTTCTAATGCTCGTACTTCCGCTAATTGTCGTTTACGCGATAAAAATAATTGTTGTCTTTCTCGCCGTAATTCCTCTTTTTCTCTTCTTCGTGCTTCTTCTACCCGTGCTTCTACCTCCGCTTTTTTATCTTCCTACAATTATATTAAAAGAAAAGCCTTGATTTTAGAAATTAACATAATTAATATATGTTGATTATTTACCTTTGCTTTTAACTTGGTCTCTTCTAATCTAAATTTTTGCAAAGTACCCAAAAGTGCACCAAACATTCGTTTATTCCTTTGTCGACTACGTTCATCTATTCTTTCTCTTCTGATAACTTCTTGACGTGAAGGAATTTCTCTGGGCGTAGCAATTACTCTTGATGACACAGCAGGCTGTGATAAGCAAACATAAATGTTTATAATTTTACATAAAACAATAACAATATGTTATAGAAGAATAATATTACTTTAATAGCAGTATCATCTTCATCTGCACTGTCATCAGCAGTCGAAGGAACGCGAGCACTCAAACGACTAAAAACCGTTTTTGGTTCTCCATTAGATGCTTGCCAACGCCTTTTTGCACCAGGTATTTCATTATTTACGAAATCTGATACGACTCGTCGACGATCTTCTTGCAATGGTCGCTTTTGGGATAGTCTGCTAATAATACAACTAATTATTACATTTGATGTTCTACAAGTTTTCCAAAAAATCAACTTTATTATATAATGTTTTAAATTATTAATTTGATTTATTGGTTGATATCTAAATATAGATATAGTAAATATTAATACTGCTGAATATCATCGGAACATTTAGGTTATGTTTCAAAACACATATTGCAAATGTACTCTTATGTGCAAAGAAAACATATTTCACAAATAATAGTGTACTAAATTAACATCGGTCATCGTATCACATTTAGTAGAATAAATATTAGGGTATGTTTGACCTGGGAGGGGGTTGTATCGGTCCGTTTTCACCGTCAGGTAGGTCCCGGCCCAAAATTTTTCGAATACTTCGATCGAGACCTCTCAGTCCATCGCGAGCAGCCTCCAATTGAGCTTCTAAACGATCGGCACCCCATGGTTCTTGCGACTCTAATTTCCTCATTTAAGAAATTTTAATATACTTAGCGTAGCTGTAAAAAGAATTCATTTAATTAATAACGGAGCTCACGAATTGTTGTTGAAAGCATCACTAAAGGGGGGAGCCACCTACAATTCTTATCCTTCGCCAGATCAATAACAGTTTGGAGTTTCCTTAGTAGTGGTAATGCTGAAAATGGTAATTTCAGTGAATTTTTTTCACAAAATAATACATATTGCAATACTTTGTAATATCTCAAAATAATTTTCATTTAGTTATTAATTAATCCTTTCAAATTATTGATTTTATTGGCTGTACTCGGTGCGATCGTTTGCTATTGATGTCAGGAAATTTCTTTCATAGGTTATGCTAAATATGATTTCGAATGATTACTCTTATTTGTATAAATATTAGATTATTATAAAGAAAAGTATAGACACAATATCAATAAAAACTATTTTATTTACTCATATGGTAATATATATCGATAACTCAACATTATATTTTTTGATCATTACTACGCACGCGTAAGTTTTATACCGATGACAAGTGGCGGCAAGATCATGTAGCGACAATTCGGTAAATTAGGCTTGACTACAGTGTATGTAGTGTATTTGAGTCTCCCTTTTATTCATTAAATAGAATGTGAGAAAATTTTATGTTATTTAAAAGACATTAGAAGTTTTATGTTGTTTTAATGTTTTTATTCAATAATTTATAGAGTTTATTATATCGTTCGTATAACTACTTAATAAGTTTGTATAATGGTAGAATTTATTACGTAAGATAAAATGTGTCCGTAGTTCAAACATATGAAATTTTTATTTCTCATCAAATATAAAAGAAATAACAAATAATTGTGTGATACAAAGATTTTATATCTTCTATATTTTTAATTAAATTTTTCTAATTTGATAAATGAATATCATAATTTATTTTAGATAAACATGTTGAGGTTACGTCTTTCTCCAAATATTTCTAAAATATGCAAACGCAATATAGGAATAATAGCACCTGCTCTCCAAAAGGCTACTGATCCCATACAAAAACTTTTTATAGATAAAATTCGAGAATATACCAATAAGAGCCAGTAAGCGTTACATATCAATTATTCTATACAGTTATTTTTTCATACTAAGTTTGATTCTTTATTAATTATAAAATGAAGTTACTAAAACAATATTTTTATTTCTGAGCATAGAGGTGGAAAATTAGTTGACCCAACTCCAGAAATTGAAAAAGAAAGAAAAGCTGAATTAGAAAAACTTGCTACTCAATTTGGTTGTTCTCCTGGCACAGATATGACAACTTTCCCAACATTTACTTTTACTGGTATGTTGTGTAACTTGACCAACTTTCTATTAAAATTTGAAAATATTTTATTCAAATGACCAATATAATACTTAATTTATTAATTTGTATTTCTTAGATCCACCAATAGATTCAGGAGTATCAAAAAGTTAGATATATCAACATGATCTTCAAGTAGAAAATGTATATATAAAATCATTCAATGTATTAAAATGTTCATTGTAAAAAAATAATAAATAAATAATTTGAGAGAGATTGTATTTTCATTATTTTTATTATTATAGTATTATAAATATACAAAACAAAAAAAAACCATAAAATATTACACTTCACACGGCAAAAGTCCTGTTTTGTTCACCATTTCCGCTAAAATACTCATTTGACACTTATTAGCTATAGACTTACATTTTTTTGCATACTGTGCAATTTCTTTTGCACACACTAATGTTTTAAAATCACCACCACAAGTGCAACGTTCATCCATATTTCCTCTCTTAATTTCAAGACATTTGCTGCATTGTAAATCTTGGAGTATATATGCCATACTCTTGCGATTTAATATATTTATTAGTAAAAATTCTATTTCTTTATTATCATAAATTGTTTCACATAGAGGACACTTCCACATACACCTGAAAATAATATAAATATTTCTTTTTTTGGATAAACTATAACATAATATACTTATAATATTATGCGATATTATTATACGTACTTATTATTTTCTACATGTACATAAGTATCTTTACAAAGATCTATATCCCTGGTATGATTACATCCTTTGCATATGATCTCGGGCAATATGAGAGATATGCACGGATCTTTCCATTCAACATCATCACCAAAACCACCTACTCTTATTAATCGCAACAAATTTGTTTGTAAATTATATACTTCGTTCTCAAGTTCTTTGTCCAAAGATAAAACCTATAATTAGAAAATTTGGTTTAAACTTTGATATATTTTTCATTATGCATACTAATATAAACATTAGATAAAAAACAATACCTTGCATACAGCTTTTATTAATTCAAGTGCTGGATTAATTGTTTTATTATCTTTGCCATCTAGATTTAAATCAGGATGTTCTTGAGATGTTAATACTTTTTCTGGCATTTTTTTATGTATTTTCTGTATTATTCTATAAAAATTAATTTTATAGACATTAATAATATATATAAAAAAAATATTTTCAATTTTGATATGTATATAAGACACTAACTGAAAAAGTTTTTGTGACATTTCTCCTGAAATAAGTTTTTTAGCAAAATGTGCTGTATTTTCCAATGCACCAAGTCCGAGTGGTGCAATAAAATCTTGACTACAATCAGTTCTTTTTTTATGTAAAAGATTATCAGATGTTTCTTCGTTTGTACATATATGTTGATAAGTAGCACTTATGTACCCTGCAATAATAGCATTAAAAGTACTTTGACATGCTACTTCTTTAGGTAAATAAGATGCCAAGTTCCAGTTCATTACAATTTCA